AGACGTGACGGTTGGAAAGACGTGACTGTGGGAAAGACGTGACTGTGTGACTGTTGGAAAGACGTGACTGTGTGACTGTTGGAAAGACATGACTGTTGGAAAGACGTGACGGTTGGAAAGACGTGACTGTGGGAAAGACGTGACTGTGTGACTGTTGGAAAGACGTGACTGTGTGACTGTTGGAAAGACATGACTGTTGGAAAGACGTGACGGTTGGAAAGACGTGACTGTGGGAAAGACGTGACTGTGAGACTGTTGGAAAGACGTGACTGTTGGAAAGACGTGACTGTTGGAAAGACGTGACTGTGTGACTGTTGGAAAGACGTGACTGTTGGAAAGACGTGACTGTTGAAAATCTACTTGCTCAGTTGTAGCCAGGCGGGGTCGTGACTCATGAGCCAGAGGCCCCGCCGGAGCTACAAAAAATTTATACATTTGAAATCGGATTAAAAATCTAATGTCATATTCACAATTAGCGCCTCAAATTAGCAAAATCTATGCGCAAACCACGTGGTTTAAAAGCATATTGACCATTTTACCAATTTCCCTTTAAACCCTACATTTCTTTTTCCCGCCTTGGGTTCATGTGACCTCTTGACTATTTATAGCCCCGTACTGAGAACACAGCCCGCCACGACAGCGGCCTAGCGTACACATCCGGGGAAGAAGTAGGCCAACAGACCAGGCGTGTCTATTCCGGTCTGTGAGGACACACAAGACGGAAACGACCCGACCATGTTTCCTCCTCCCGACAGAAAATCGGGTCATGTCCGTCCCAGCCAATGGACACGAAGCCTAAGTCGCATTGTTACATTTACAAACATGCTAAAAAAAATCACATTTGTTTCCATGGCAACCATGGATGAAGAAGTAAGCTACAAATGTTGCAGTATACCCAGCAGTAACAACAACAACAAATCTCAACTGTAGTTGTACATTTCCACCATGCTAAGGGCAGGGTCAAGTACTAAACAAATGTTTCTATTCATCAACACAATTCTTGGAAAAAATGTTTCTATTCATCAACATAATTCTTGGAAAAAATGTTTCTATTCATCAACACAATTCTTGGAAAAAATGTTTCTATTCATCAACACAATTCTTGGAAAAAACTAATCACAGACACATCACCAGCACAGCCAATGCAAAAATCCCAACAACACCACACATACTTAGAGAACTATACTGGAATGGATTCCCATCTTTTTAGTTTTTTAGTTTTAGTAAGGGTTTTACAGCACTTGCAACAAAATAAGGTCAAATAAGTGCTGAAGATTAGAGGTGATACAAGAGAGTAACATACACACAAAATAGAAGGAGGGGAGATAGAGACAATAGATGTTTGATAGGAAAGAAGAAGCAAACCACACCAGAGCACCCGCCAACCACCCACATTCCCATCTTTGAATCAGCTATCAGGTGACATTTACACAACAGTAACCAGAGGTTAGTGAGCTAGCTATCAGGAGACATTAACCGGAGGTTAGTGAGCTAGCTATCAGGAGACATTAACCAGAGGTTAGTGAGCTAGCTATCAGGAGACAGTAACCAGAGGTTAGTGAGCTAGCTATCAGGAGACAGTAACCAGAGGTTAGTGAGCTAGCTATCAGGAGACATTTACACGACAGTAACTGGAGGTTGGTGACCCAGGCTCCATGAAACACAACCACTACTCTGAACCAGTCAGAAATCAACAATGAATCACAAAAATAAACCTTCAAAAGTGAAAATCAATCAGACAAATAAAATTAAAAAGAAACGGAAAGCAAACCTGAAAATGCAAGCATGAAAACCAAATGAGGAGTCCATGGGACAAATGAGGAGTCCATGGGACAAACGAGGAGTCCATGGGACAAACGAGGAGTCCATGGGACAAACGAGGAGTCCATGGGACAAATGAGGAGTCCATGGGACAAATGAGGAGTCCATGGGACAAA